TTGGATTTTGCAAGATACACCGATTTGTTTTGCTGACAAGCCTAAATTAATTTGAATAGAACTTTTTTATGCTTCAATTTTGTGTATGGACAGTTAATCTCCCTGGACATGGGTGCATTGGTTGCTGGTGCTAAGTATCGTGGAGAATTTGAGGAGAGGTTAAAAGCTGTGCTGAAGGAAGTTACTGCTTCAAATGGGCAGATCATATTATTCATTGACGAGATCCATACTGTTGTTGGTGCAGGTCAGTGCCGTGCTTCTGCTTGCTGTCTTCCTTTATTTACTAATAATTACTATGCAGGTTAGAATTAACCAACTATTTACTTAGATGCACCGTTAGAATTGGTGGTTTTAGATGCTTAATGCAAAACTTTTGAGTTCATATTCACAAGTGTGAGTTGGGTGTGTGTTTGCATGAGGTGAGATCAGAGGGCACTCTCAAATTGGCATCTCAGTATGTAATTTTCTCTATGATGTCACAACTGTCTTAATTAAGAATTTATTCACTATTGACATGGGAGGCCTTCTTGATGATTTTCTTGCAGGGGCTACATCTGGTGCAATGGATGCTGGGAACTTGTTGAAGCCAATGCTTGGGCGAGGTGAGCTTCGGTGTATAGGGGCAACTACATTGAATGAGTATAGGAAATACATCGAGAAGGATCCAGCACTTGCACGAAGGTTTCAACAAGTGTTCTGTGATCAACCAGCTGTTGAAGATACAATATCCATTCTTCGCGGGTTGCGTGAGCGTTATGAGCTACATCATGGTGTTAAAATATCAGACAGTGCCCTTGTTGCAGCAGCAGTTCTTGCAGATAGATACATCACAGAACGTTTTCTGCCTGACAAAGGTAAAAATAAGTAACGAGAAAAAGAGAACTTTATTTTTGAACATTGGACATAAAAGGCGGGGCTGGTTTCTGTTAAATTTTATGCCTGCATCTGTGTATGGTGATAGAAAATAAACTATTTCCAGAGTTTCAGCTTCAATCTTTAAAACGAGTATGAAAGGAGAAAAATTCATTTTTCTATGGACGAGTAAGTCTTAGGCTTGCAACCACAAAGGTGCAATTTTAAGACTTGAGAGCAAGCACTTTATGCTAAAAAGTTTTGAGTATCTGACCGCTCTATTCTCCTCCCATTACTCCATTTCAGGATCATAATTGGATAATGGTATTCTTTTTCCATCTTTTCTTTCTTTTCGTTGCCACTTTGTTTGATGCATGTTGATAGCGTGTGATCTTATTGACAATGCACGAAAGCAATTAAAGCATTGGAGTGCACTCAATGCCCTCTATTAGTGGTCATTGTGGTGGCTAGCGTGATATCTGACAAATAGGAAAATGAGAAGCATGATAACTGGAAAAGATTAGCACTCCTACTTACCTCCATATAGAATAAAGTAAAAAAAGGGAGGGGGAGGCTGGGGAATAAGGAAGACTAGCAATTCACCTTTTGTTTTTTCAACTTTTTAAGGTTTCTAGGTGCTTAATGTTGCACTAGAATCTTCTACCATCATGGTCACTACCAAAAAATGTTTGATGCTGTACATTTTAGTTTGTCTCTGCCTGTGATCTGTTGACCTTTCTCATTATCTCTTTCTGATTTATTTTCCAGCCATTGACCTTGTTGATGAAGCAGCTGCAAAGCTGAAAATGGAGATCACTTCTAAACCTACAGAGCTGGATGAAATTGATAGAGCTGTGTTGAAGTTGGAGATGGAGAAGTTGTCTTTGAAAAATGACACTGATAAAGCATCAAAAGAGAGGTTGAGTAAGCTTGAACATGATTTGGAAGAACTTAAGCAAAAACAGAAAGAACTAAATGAACTTTGGGATCGTGAGAAGGATCTCATGAATCGAATACGATCCTTAAAAGAAGAGGTAAGTCTTTGTTTGTTATTGATTGACTGACCTCAAAGTTATCCTCATACCTTAATTTTTTGTTGTACTTTTTAAAAATGCTTGTAGATTGATAGAGTCAATCAAGAGATGGAAGCTGCTGAGCGTGAGTATGACCTGAACCGTGCTGCTGAGCTTCGATATGGAACTCTAATGTCCCTTCAACGCCAGTTAGAGGAGGCTGACAGAAACCTTTCTGAATTCCGAAAGTCTGGAAAGTCTTTGCTTCGAGAAGAGGTGACTGATTTTGACATTGCTGAAATTGTAAGCAAATGGACTGGTATACCTGTGTCAAACCTTCAGCAATCAGAGAAGGAGAAGCTAGTTTTACTGGAAGAGGTGCTACACAGGAGAATAGTTGGTCAAGATATTGCAGTGAGGTCAGTGGCAGATGCCATCCGGCGTTCAAGGGCAGGGCTATCTGATCCAAATCGTCCGATAGCTAGCTTTATGTTCATGGGCCCCACTGGTGTGGGCAAAACTGAGCTTGCAAAGGCCTTAGCCAGTTTCCTCTTTAACACTGAAAATGCTCTAGTAAGAATAGATATGAGTGAATACATGGAAAAGCATGCGGTTTCACGCTTGGTGGGGGCCCCACCTGGTTATGTTGGCTATGAAGAAGGTGGGCAACTCACTGAAGTGGTTCGTAGAAGGCCATATTCTGTAGTACTGTTTGATGAAATTGAGAAAGCACATCATGATGTGTTCAACATTCTGCTACAGTTGTTGGATGATGGAAGGATAACTGACTCTCAAGGAAGAACCGTTAGTTTTACTAATGCTGTTGTGATTATGACTTCAAACATTGGTTCCCATTTGATACTTGAAACTCTCAGTAATACACATGATACCAAGGAAGTTGTTTATGACATCATGAAAAAACAAGTTGTAGATTTGGCCAGACAACATTTCCGTCCAGAATTCATGAATCGTATTGATGAATATATTGTTTTCAAGCCTTTGGACTCCAAAGAAATCAATAGAATTGTTGAGATACAGGTAATAATTCTTTCCTATGGTAAACTCTCAGTTCGTTGTTTTGATTGCCTTTCTGTTTCCTTGTTGATTTAATTGCTGGGACACCTGAATGCATTTTCTAACCCACCTTGGTCACTAGAACTTTGGAATCCCTGCAACATGAAATTCTGTGGGATTCTTGGGAATAGAAGGAGGCTGATGTAATGTTGAGGTAGTCTTGTTGATTTCTTTTCCAGTTTCGTCACATTTTGTAATGAACATCCAGATAGAGAGAGAGGCCATCTCTCTATGAGCATTCTCTCATTTGCTTCTTGTTTATGGACCTCAGACGAGTTGGTTGATGAGGTCTGAATTCCAAATTATCCATGGAACATTGACATGGTGAAGGATTTTTTCTTTTCTTTTCTTTTTAAAAAAACTCACCTCTATAGAAAATAAGTGGTTCATCCATTTCAATGGCCAAGTTTCTAGCTTTTTGAATAACTTGCTGGTCTTGTATTGGACTCAAATTCATGAGCGCGGTTATTGCATGTTTCTTGCTTGATGGTTTGCAGCATTCACGATTAGTGAAAAGGTATGAGAGAGATTGATCTGTAAATTATTTGCTGATCATGTTTCTTGCATGTTCTGATACCTGTCATATAATGAATGGAGAATTGGTCCAATCATGTTCTGCTGCCTATTATTTCTAGGCAGGTTTGACTCTCCAAGGCAATGGGCTCCCGTCCTGTCAATGTATGATGCATCTGAGGTTGAACCATAATATCTCTTGTTTGTGACACCATTGGTTTAAAGTTAATCAGCTCTTGTGTTCTTCGATACTCTAATATGTTTACATGAATGAAAATTTTTTTGTGTTCTTCGATACTCCTCTAATATGTTTACATGAATGAAAATTTTAGAGACATGAGCCCCTGTGACTAAATGTGTGCTTGTTTTGTGTTTTGTTTTTTAATTGAACTGTGTCATAAACTATTTTGATCAGGATCTAACATTTCATTGTCTGTTGCTAGATGAATCGACTGAAAGAGAGGCTCAAACAAAAGAAAATCGATCTGCATTACACCAAGGAAGCCACCGACCTTTTGGGGAAACTGGGCTTTGATCCAAACTTTGGAGCACGGCCAGTTAAGCGTGTGATACAGCAGTTGGTCGAGAATGAAATTGCAATGGGAGTCTTGAAGGGAGATTTCAAGGAAGAAGATTCGATTATAGTTGATGCTGATGTAGCTTCAGATCTTCCTCCCCAGAACAGATTGCACATCAGGAAAATAGAGAGCAGTTCATTAAGAGAAGCCATGGTTGCCTGATAGATTTCCCTTTTGAAGTTGTAAGTATGTAATGCTTCGTTTTGTTTTAGCACAAACTTTCTAGACAGTATGGCAAGTTACTGTCTTTTCCTTTGCCTTTTATGTTTTTGCCCATTGTAAAAAGGAAATTACCAAGTAAGCGCTGTTAGTTCCATAGTTAAGTTCACGTTATTTATTTTTTTAAATAAAAACTTAAATCTTAATGGTAAATTCATCTTCTTGATTTAGGCACTGTTATTAAACCTGGCTCACCTGGTGGGTCTGGATCTCAAAAAAGGTCAACTTGAAATTGAGTTGATTTGACTTTACAGGTTAGCGTTTAAAACCCAGATGCCAATTGTTTTAGATTGTTTTATCTTTTTCCTGCTGATTTATTCTCCCCTAAACTTTTCAAGAGAAGAATTATCAGCTACTGTAGATCAATTTTTCAAACCCTAATGTTTTCAGGGAGATGATGTTTGCTAATTTTTTACATGGAAAAATACCATGCTTAATTAGGAAGGTAGCGAAGGGGACAGCTGTACATATCAAGAACACTGACCCAAAATAAAAAATACAGAAAAATTACTGGTGCATAATTGGGTATTTAAATAGGGATTTGCAAAGTTAAATCTCCTCAAGATTGTAATTTGTTTAAAGGATTAATATATAAGCTTAACAGCAAAATACTTGATTAGCAAGACTTGAATATGTTTAACTAAATTTTCATCAGAACCCATCGGTTTTTTTTTAAATAAAAAAAGAAAAAAAGAAAGAAGATGGGTGTGCAAATAGGCTAGTCATCCAACTTGAAAATCCCATAAAATCACTAATTAATTGTCGAACAATTAGCAAGTTCTTGTTGTCCAACGCAGTTTCCAACCTCTTTGTCTCCAACAATCAAGCCTGTCAAGCACCTAGGTCCTTGCCAATCTTCACACACATCCCATCCTGTTGGCTTGATTTCTTCTACAGAAACAACAGGATTCTTCTCCTTGTGATCACAAGGCACTGGCTCAAGTGCTACTTCCAGTCCCATTAAAAGTCGAGGATCGACTTCAGAATTCCAGTCAATTTTATCAATATATTTGTCAGGATTTTGATAGTGCATTTTGTAATTACGGGTGTGACCGAATTTGAGTGCCCAAAACCTGCTCTTAGCGTTGTAGAAGCACTCCTTCCCTTCAGTGTCATCCCACAGCATGATCTTCCCCGTTGGCAAGATGTATTTCTTGGCTTTCAAGAAATCTTTCCATTGCATTCCGCCTACTTGGAGGCAGAATTCCTTCTCCCATTTCGGAACAGGCCTGCTCCTGCTTTGTGTTTGTGATATTTTAGGGTTAAGTCCTGCTCCTAACATCTTGGCATGGAGATCTTTTGCGATATGCCATTTTAAAAAAAAAAAAAGAAAACAAGAGCAATAATAAACATTTTTTTAAAAAAGAAAACAAGAGCAATAATAAACACTAAGAACTAGAACACAGTAAATGAGAAGCAAAGAAGAGTGATTTTTTGTTTTGTTTTGTTTACAATTTGACTATTTATAGGCCAATCTGTATCCTTTCTATAATTTGGATAGGATTAGAGCAAATTATTAGGTGAACAAGGTTCATGGTGGAACTCGCTTGTTACGAGCTGTTGTGTGTGTTTAATTATTATTTTTAGTAAAATAATTAAAGATTTAGATTACATTAAATTAAAACAATTTTCATCTATAATTGGTGGGACGAAACAAAATGATTAATTTGTGAATATGTTCAACTCAACATTTTATATAATTTTTTTTAAGAAAATTGATTTTCTGGTTATGCAGGTCTGGGAGTTTAAAAAGAAAAATCCGCAGTGAGTTATTAGTCTATGTGCTAAATTAGTGCATGAATCTCTTGAATATGAATTAAAATGAATTTATGAACATTTTATTAATCTATCCAACTGAACATATTATATAATTTAATGGGAAAATAAAGGGATTGAAAGCTTGAAAAGGAAATATTATTAATTAGGTGAATAATTGGGTTTGTAGTGAACCGACGTCTTGAAAAAGAACTTGTCTAATAATCTTTTCAATAATTTTCCTCAAAAAAGGAAAGAAAGAAAAAACAATTCTCTCGTTCTACCTTGAATTGATTAAAAATCCAAAAGGAAACATTACAAGGTGAACTCGAATGGTGCTGGATCGAGTTGCCTGGTGTGCTACATTCGACTAATGATTACTTTAAAAAATAAAAATTTAGAATACTATAAATTATATATATATATATATATATATATATATATATATATATATAATTAAAATATCATGTCATGTAATTTTCTATAAAAGACAAGAAAATGGATTTTGCTAACTCTATCCTAAACTGAAACTCCAAAAGGAAATATTACTAGGTGAATTGTCTCAGTGGTGGATTAAACTCATAATGATTTGGTTTATGTGCTAGATTTATCTAATATTTTTTTAACAAAATAGTATGAATTTGGAATGTTGTAAATAAAAAAGAGCTATATAATTGGTGGATGGCGTTTTATTTTATTATTTGTCAAGGGAATTGGATAAATTTTTACTTAATAAAAATAAATTTATAGTATTTGACTTTTCTAGCTAGATCAACTAGGTTTGAAAAAATAATAAAACTCAATTTAAATTTAAAGTCTATTTGTCAGTCGAGTCATTAACTTGAATACTAAAATTATATTTTTTTTCTTTAGATTTTATATTAACTGTAAAACAAACACAGCAATATAGTTGGTACAGCATTAAACTTAGTTTTATGATGCAGGATTTACTAAACATTTTGTGCAGTAGGTTTTTACATGTTTTTTTAATTGAGTTTCGCAAATATTCCTTACCAATCTCCTTTTCACTGTTTGTAAAAAAATTTAAATATTTTATCCAAATATTATATATATATTTTTTTATTATACATAAACTTCAAAGCAATTTTTAATCAAACACACACACACACACACACACACATATATATATATATATATATATTTAACTATAATTAAAAATCCTTTTTCTAAACTTATTTTAACTACAATTAAAAATCCTTTTTCTAAACTTATTTTTATTGAGATTATAATCACTAAAACTACACATAAGAGTAATCAATGTCTTTTTTTTATCCTTTCATAAACGTGGAGAAAATTCATTCACAAAGTAAGCTGAATAGGGGAAAAGCAGACAACAAATAGCAAGCATTGAAAATAGGAAACAGGAATCAAATCCATGCCACGAAATATTCAGAGCGAGACACCCACCAGCCTTGGCCAACAAAAGAAAAGGAAGTTTGGCCATTACGGCCATGAAAATGGTGCCAGAAAGGACAAGGGCTCGACTGCAATATCGATGCTGCCTAGTGCCCTCTAGTACTCTCCTCTTGTCCTCCCTCCACATCAATTTTTTCATGCAGACGTTTCTTCTTACAATTATAGAAGTAAACCATGAATGCCAGCCACAACCACATTTTGGCCAAACAAACAAGGCTAGCATGCACTACTGTGACTGCAACTCCACTTCCTCCCTTGACCCATCCCACGTAAACGCATCCCAATCTTAAGGCAAACCTCAACGCAAAATACACTAGCATTAGAAGAAATCCATGCTGCCTGCTACCTCTGCTTAGATATGCTGAGATTATCAATGCTACATCACCATGTTTCTCTTCCAAAATGGAAATCAGAATTCCCATGTTCCACACAGCACTCCACTCTATGTATTTTGATAGTAAACCAATAAAGACTAAGGAAAATACCACGGAGAAGAAGGAAGAGATTGACCCGAGGTATGTGTACATCACAGTGGAGACTAGTCCAACTGAAATAAGAGAATCTAAAAGGAGAGCATAGATGGATGTGATGAGAGGCCCTTGAATTCTTGCTTCTTTGATGCATCTGCTTAACATGTCCTTAAGATTCATGGTTTTCCTATCTCCTTTGTAAATCATTGAAGCAATATCTACTACAGCAATCATGCTGAAGAGGTCTAGCAAATGGAGTATCCCTAAATATATGAGACAAAGTAGAAAAAACTTACTAGATATTCCTTCAATCAACCTCTCTGTAGCTCCTTGTGTTGCATAATAATAATCGAAAACATCAGAAGGAGATGTTCTTTCCTTTAAAATATCCTTCAATGTTTTGATCATGGTTTGCTGGAAGACAGTCTCGTACATGATCAAAAAGGAGAACAAAGGGAGAGAGGAAAAGAAGGCAAAGATGATGAGATTGGGATTTCTGAAGGGGGTTTTGAGGGATTCTTTGAGTAAGTCGAAGAACCCTAGCTGCTTCTCCTTCATCATGGTTTGAGAGTTCTCCATTTTTCCACTATGAATCTCTCAACGACTGGTTGCTTTAAGGATCAAGTCTTTTCGGTGTTTGAAGACTTTGGCAGCAATTGGCTTGACCTGTGTTGGTTCCCTGTTGTGGGGTGCATCGGAGTCATCGTAAGATGATAATCAAAATTTCAAAGGCATTGCTCTGATTGGCTGCATTTTTTGGACAAATTCACTCTTGACATTTTTTATTAAGGTTCTAAGCGTTGATTTGCTCGCAAGGGCCAAGCGCCGGCAGCATACCTCTATTTTTTAGTTTTAGAAATATTAAAAAAATATATTTTTATATTTTTATTTAAATTATTTTTTAATATTTTCTTATTATTTTAATCTACAGTAGAAATAATTTTTCTTTTTAAAAATAAAATTATTTCAACACATTTTTAAAAAATAATAACTACCATATTTTTTAAAACATCCAAAAGTTTGACACTGCTACCACTACCTTCAAACTCGAAGTCAAACACACGAAATCAGCTGTTACTGAATCTTTGGATGGTGGGTAACTGGTACAGAGAAGATCAGCCTGAGGCGACATGGAATTGTGGCTGGAGGGGTTTGAGTACTGCAAATTACACACCCTGGTACTAGAGAGGTGACTGTAGTCACTATTTCTTATGAACAATCACATAGAGAGACAGCAGAAAACTTGAATAATGTAAAATTATTTACATTGTTTAGATCTGAAATTTTCAGAATCAAGAAGTTTCACCATTAGTTTCTCTAGCCTCTTTGAATTAACAGTACCCGGTTTAACAGCAAAGGGACTCCCATAAACAACACAAGGATCTTTATCTGAAAGAGACTTTCCTGCACACCAGCGCCCTCGAGTAAGCTGTCCATCCGGTATCCCCAGAAGTTCTCTGTCAATTTTGTTAAGAACTTGATCATCCTTTGCAAACTTACGGGCAAAGGGGGCACCACTTGCAACCATGTCTTCAAAATGCTCCACGGTGAGATTCAATGGATATTGCTTTGGAGGGTTATCCCACTTTAGGTAATGCAGGTCATGGTTAACTGTAGTGTTTTGGTAATCTTTTTGGTTGCAAATGACAGTATGGAAGTATCCCTCTGTGGATGACAGGAAATTTGTGTAATACATGAGGACAGTGCGGGGGAGGTTATCCCATCCCCAGACACAAAATTCAAGAAATGACCTTGTAAGAACCACCAATTCAGACCCTGAAATCGGATAATAAACTAGGGTAAGGTCAAGGAAAGAAGAGAACTACAGCGTGACATGCTATAATGGTCCTACAGAATGTCCAAAATTAATGCAAAAACACAGCTTCCCAGCAATTTATTGTTCAGTTGAGCTATTCTCATAAAATCTTAAAATTGCTGGGAAAAGCATATGAATCGTTTAATAGTGATGTACGAAATGAACATTAGAATAGATTATTTAGATATGAAATAAGGAAAATAAAAACTGAAGACATGAGTGACTTCACGATATAAAGCTGACATGAAAGCAGTACCCATAAATAACTTGAAAGCGGCAGGCAAACTCCTTTTCTCTTTGGCCCAAAATACACCAGACTTCTTTGTATGATACAAGCCTGGATCTATGATTATAGGCTTTGCTCTTTCGTGCCTGAAAGAAAAGAAAAGAAAAATTATAAAGACACCACAGTCACGAGATGTAATGTTCTAAATCAAGTTTATAATTATAGCATCCTCACTCTTTCCAACCGATACCACTTGTGTGCTCCAAGAAGTTCAGATCTCTAGGCAAGTAGGAGAAAATATGCAGGATATCTGAAACAAAATGCCGTGATAAGTTTCATTGACAGCACTCTTATTCCATAAAATATCAACTGAGACCAACTCTGTAGTTAGTTTTCATTTTCACTTTCATGAAACGTAGATCTTATGTTTCTAATTTCTTAAAGGTTTAAGTAGCTACAAATGCACTTTCATTGTCTAATTCCTCCCAATTATGAGTGTGTGGACATGACTACATACACAAAATTGTCAGAAATACATAAATCCGGGTACACCAATATCTCAGGTAATATGAACTTCACACTAAGAAGCATGGCCAACTAGCAAATCCACTTAACGCAGCCTTCTACATTATCCTAAAGATTATAAACAAATGCACGAACAGATCCATTTTCAATCTTGGCATCTCTTGAAACATCATCAACATGACCCTTCTATTCTACATCATCTACTTTCTCATTGCACTTAAAATCTTATAAAGCAAGGCATAAAACACTCATTTTCCTACCCCTCGTCTCCTAACCAGCTAAAAACAGGCACCACACGCTATAAATAGCCACAAACACGAATCCAGAAATCACACACAATAACCACTTCAAAGCAATCTCTATTTAAAACAAAACACAAAGATAAACAACACAAATATTCACAAAGCATCTTGAGCCATAAACAAAGACCTTGTAAACCACGTTCACCTATCCAAAACTACCATCGAAAATAAAATCCAACACAAAACAATAAATACATTTCAAATCAAGTTCTAATTAAACCCAAAACAACACAAATGATAAAAAATTCACCAGCTTGATGGATAAACCCAAACCTACAAACCACGCTATCTGTACAAAACGACCCGTTAAAACAAGCAATCTAACAAAAAAAAAACAATTCAAATCATTCTCTATTCAAGCCAAAAACACCAAAAAAGCAAAACAAAAGTTCAAAAAGTTACCATCTTGAGGCATGAGAGGATAATCTTCAGCACTTAAATTAACAAACCAATCCCAATCTTCAAACTGCTTCAACAAAATAGCCACCCCGTGCAGTATACTAGCAATCATAGTAGGCCCTTTATATGTAACCAAATCACCCTTGCCAAGAACCATAACATTCCCAAATTTCCTCATCACACCACTCTCTACCTTTACATACTTTGCTAGCTCAAGCCTTTCACCGTCACTTGCTTCAAAATCAAGATGCAACAAATAGTAGTTTCTAGGATGATAAACTGCTTGAAGCAATCTTTTTACACTTGAAACATCCCCTTTTGTGCCTGAGATGAAGTAAGCAAACCTTGGCAGTCTCGGTAACTGTGATGGGTCATTGAGATTTTGGTCCAAGATGAAGTGTTTTTGCTGGTTTGAGGAGGTGTCGGTTGATGGAGACGATTTGTTTTGACCGACAGTTAAGAGGAGGATTAGAGAGAGTAAAGCCAGTGTGATTAGTAGAATCAGACATGTTCGATCTAGGGAGTATGAAATGTGTGTTCTCTTCATGGTTTCTTGCTGTTGAGAATGTGAGCTCTGTTTCTTACATCAGAGCTCGCAGATTTTGAGGCTTTGCAAAACGTTTGGTGGGGCTGGTGGCATGTCCTTTTTTGCTGAACTCTTGAAGTTACCTTCATGTGTCTGAAACGCAGAGTAACTCATGTTGGGGAAACGTCAAGTCTAGTCCCTTACTTATATACTTATTTTCAATTGAGTCTAAATCTATATGATTTTATCAATTTGATCCTGAATATTTTAAAGATTTATCCATCGGTTTTTTCTTCAAATTTAATGTTGTTTTTGTGTATAAAATATGACTATTGGACTGAAAATACTTATATTTATTATTATTTTTATTTTTTTATCAAATATTTTTCATACTAACATCGTTTTAATGAAGAAGAAAATTTAGTCATAACAGTTGGATAAAAATACTTTTTTATCAAATATTTTTCATACCAACAACGTTTTAGTGAAGAAGAAGATTTAGTCATAACAGTTGGATAAAAATACTCCTAACAATCAAATTGAAAATTCAATGATTCAAATTAAAATTCTAATTAGATATTCTAGAACTTGAATATGCTTAAATCCTACCAATTTAGTAATGTTTTGTCAGCTCGAAACAGCTTAACCAGACCTTTTGACCACTTGAAAGGTCAAATGCTGGAGTAAAAAAAATAAAATTCCAAACAGTTCTTGATATATGACGAGAGAAAATCACTTATAGTTGTGGATTCAACTAGAGAAAGAGGGGAAAAAACTAGAAAGAGAGAAATTTATGAAGAACGCACAATCAAGGTCTTAAATGAATAATTAGATACTTTCTGTATTCAATAGATCATGTGTGGAAAGTTATCATATAAATTAGGGATTAGAGATTGGAATTAAATAAATGAGTTTATTCATTTACGGGGTTTTTTTTTGGAAACGTGATCGATATTTAATTGTCCGAATTTATATATTCGTTACCCATTACATGAAATCTCACTCTCAAATAAATATTAAGGGATCAATGAAATATTATAAATAAAATAAAAGGTATTTTAATTACCATAAATAAATCAATAATTCATTCATTAGAAGTTAATTCTCTTGAGAAAAAAGTCAGCCATAAGATTGTTTGTTTTTAGAGAAAATATTGGTTACCTTGTTACCTGTTATATAGATCCTCACTCGCAAATAGATATCAAGAGATTGCCGAAATATTATAATTAAAATAATAAAGATTTTAATTACTGTACATAAATCGGTCATCCATTAATTATTTCTCTTAGAAAAGTCAACCATAAGACTTTTTTTTATTTTAAGAAAGAAAAATACAATATCATGATATTTGCATTAGACTATGGTAATTGATAATTAATTATTTTAATATTTAAGTTATTTTTAAGTATAAAGAATGTATAGTGGTGGAATTATATATCATATTAGGTATAAAATTGGTTTAATCTATGTTTAATTAGGTTGACTAGATTAGATAAATTAAATATTTTTAAATCAATATTTTTTCAATTCAACTTACAACTTAAATAAAATTAGTTTTTAAGTTGTTGATTTCTCGGTTAATTTATCTGGCTAAATTTAACAATACGATTTTAATTAAAATTTAACTAGCATGCATATTTTACCCCCCAAGAGAAAAAAAGGTATGTATATGAACCTTTAAGAGCCTTCTTTTGATTGGATACAAAGAAGGGAAACTCTAATCTTCTTAACTAATTAATATATCTAACTTGTTTATATTAACCATAAACTATACTCAGTAAAAAC